TTTAGGTTTTTGAAAGACCACAAACCTACAGAATCCTATAGGATCCCTATCAGGTCGTACACTCTTAGACGAGAGTGAGCGCTTTCCGAGAAAGGGAGTGAAACTGGAGTTAGCGGCTTTACCCCCTAAAAACGAGGAAGTGCAGCCGTTCGCCTCTCTCCTTCCTGAGAACAACTAACTTTTTTCTACTAGTTTGAAAAGTACTCTCCCTACTCTCCCTCATTCATTTCGCGCTCTTAAAAAATGTATTGGCTTTTTCTCTCATGAAGGAGTATTTATCGATAGCACTTCCTCATTTTTAGGGAGTATGACCGCTAACTCCAGTTTCGCTCCCTTTCTCGGATATCGCTCGCTTTTTTCTAAGAGTGTATAAGACTCCGGAACTACAGGATTCGGAGAGGCTTTTAGGTTTCGAAAGCCTGGCGTGATCCTATTTTCAAAGTTGTATTGTGTCTCATTTCAACATTGCAGCAATATTGAATCCATCTTTTACACATCGTCGGGGAAATATTGCTAAGTGTTGCGCGTATGTTGTGTATGTTCATGTCTGCCAGAGTGCGTATTGGTATTGTCTCTCTGGGCATTTACGGACGTATCAACATTTTTTAACCTAAACTTAAGAGTTTTACCGGAGATAAATAATTTCTTCGTCATGCCACAAAAATGTCGACGAAAGAAAATGGAAGACACTCTTGCGTCAATGATCGTAGGAGAAAGCTGAATCGCTGTGAGAGTCATTCTATTTCAAGGATTCATTGCAGGCTTAGGATTAACATTGACAAAATATTGATATAATGAGACATGGTTGAATTTTAGAATTTATCGAACATGAAGAAATCAATGAAATGCTGGCTCTTCGTAATGAACCGATTCTTCAACACATTAAGACTACACATAGATGGGCGAAATCGTTTAGAAGCTATTAGATATACATTTTTTTTACATTTGCTTTCATCATAGTCTCAATAATGTTTCCAAATGGAGTCATCCACATCATCTCGACGGAAAATAGGTTCTTGCAATCAACGCGAGATGACACCTAATCGCCAATTTAGTGATTCTAATCCTGATGCCTGAAAAGTAAAGTTCCCTGAGGTTTTTCGTACAGTACGCGATCTGTTCCCACGTACAACTTGAGAGAAGATTTTGGAATTCCTAGATAGACCCTTCGATGCAGGTAATCTGGCACATGGAGACCCCCGGTATTTCTGACCAGAGGGTCCCAAGACACACGGCAATTTCATCCACCTCTCTTCACAGCGCAATAAATGACTTCGGCTTTGATATCTCTTTCGTATCTCTTTCGAGAATGGCAGTAAGTTAACCGGCCTGCGAGGTTGTGTTTAACTTTCCTCCTGCATGGGAGCCCGTACGAAAATGTCTTATAGGAAACCTATAATTATTTCTTATAGGAAACCTATAGACTTTCCTATAGGTTTTTGAAACACGAAAAACCTNTTCCGTCTTCTACTTCCTTAGGTCGAGAAAAGAACGCCGCTTCTCGCTACCGAAGGAAGTAGATGTGTAATCCAGCGACACATGTTGGGGTGGGGCCTTAAATTATGCAGACCCTGGCAGTATTGGCATTAATAATGGATGTGTCCCTACCATGGAAAAACTCCTAATCGATTCTTTGATTTACACCGAAATGCTGCGCGAATATTATCCCCTGTCGCCTTTTCCGTCGTAATGCCTGGGTTTCGAAACCCAAAATATTCTCCCCGAATCCTATAGGTCAGGAGACCTATAAGACCCTATAGGGATCCTAAAGGATCCTAAAGGATCCTATAGGTTTTTCGTGTTTCAAAAACCTATAGGAAAGTCTATAGGTTTCCTATAAGAAATAATTATAGGTTTCCTATAAGACATTTTCGTACGGGCTCCCATGCAGGAGGAAAGTTAAACACAACCTCGCAGGCCGGTTAACTTACTGCCATTCTCGAAAGAGATACGAAAGAGATATCAAAGCCGAAGTCATTTATTGCGCTGTGAAGAGAGGTGGATGAAATTGCCGTGTGTCTTGGGACCCTCTGGTCAGAAATACCGGGGGTCTCCATGTGCCAGATTACCTGCATCGAAGGGTCTATCTAGGAATTCCAAAATCTTCTCTCAAGTTGTACGTGGGAACAGATCGCGTACTGTACGAAAAACCTCAGGGAACTTTACTTTTCAGGCATCAGGATTAGAATCACTAAATTGGCGATTAGGTGTCATCTCGCGTTGATTGCAAGAACCTATTTTCCGTCGAGATGATGTGGATGACTCCATTTGGAAACATTATTGAGACTATGATGAAAGCAAATGTAAAAAAAATGTATATCTAATAGCTTCTAAACGATTTCGCCCATCTATGTGTAGTCTTAATGTGTTGAAGAATCGGTTCATTACGAAGAGCCAGCATTTCATTGATTTCTTCATGTTCGATAAATTCTAAAATTCAACCATGTCTCATTATATCAATATTTTGTCAATGTTAATCCTAAGCCTGCAATGAATCCTTGAAATAGAATGACTCTCACAGCGATTCAGCTTTCTCCTACGATCATTGACGCAAGAGTGTCTTCCATTTTCTTTCGTCGACATTTTTGTGGCATGACGAAGAAATTATTTATCTCCGGTAAAACTCTTAAGTTTAGGTTAAAAAATGTTGATACGTCCGTAAATGCCCAGAGAGACAATACCAATACGCACTCTGGCAGACATGAACATACACAACATACGCGCAACACTTAGCAATATTTCCCCGACGATGTGTAAAAGATGGATTCAATATTGCTGCAATGTTGAAATGAGACACAATACAACTTTGAAAATAGGATCACGCCAGGCTTTCGAAACCTAAAAGCCTCTCCGAATCCTGTAGTTCCGGAGTCTTATACACTCTTAGAAAAAAGCGAGCGATATCCGAGAAAGGGAGCGAAACTGGAGTTAGCGGTCATACTCCCTAAAAATGAGGAAGTGCTATCGATAAATACTCCTTCATGAGAGAAAAAGCCAATACATTTTCGTAAGGGAGATAAAATAGGGGGTGATGCTAGGCACGTAACTCCCTTGCTGGACAGAATGAATTGCGTTTCTCAAGTACTAAACTCGAGTTTTGATCCAGTTAGGAAAGTACAACTCAGAAGGACCTTTCCATGGAATAACAGCAATCATTGAAGTACTCTCGAGCTCTATTCAATATTAGTGCGCGTGAAGGCTAAAACAAAAGGTGATATAATGCCCAAACTTTGAAAAGCCAACGCTTGCACAACGGGACACATTATCGTATCAACGTTGTTTCACTTCAACATTGCGGTAACATAGAATTCCCTTTTCCCACCGTAGTGGCAACATAGCTTCGTTGAAAAATCAACCCACTCCCAACCTTGATCAGACGTTATTGGCCGGAAATTACGTATATGTAGTGCATGCTGGAAGATGCCCTCGGGCCGATGATCGTAGAAGGAAGAAAATTGCGCTTGATAGTCATAATGATGTCGATCCGCCTTAACTTCCGAGAACCTAGGCCGAACCTACGCTGAGCAAATGAGACTGATTATGATTATGATAAGTGGTTAAAAAGACGTTGGGCACGGGCTGGGCCTGGGGCAGTTACCATGTGCGTTCAATTGTGATTATTTTCCAATAAGAATATTTTTCTCCAGCAATCGTCATCCAGTGAACAAAACCGAAATTCACCGTCTAATAACCCATGTGTACGCGGGCTTTCGACTAGTCTATATACATAACGAGCGGCAGATGTATGACCAGATTTTGCCTGGTGAACTCCTCCTAGGTTTCTCAACCGAAGTCCACCATTGATACTTCATTCGATTTGTAATTTTCTGCAGGTGGTCCAACTCATTTTATATTTTTTTTTTGGAGTTGACCTTACCAGGATGACCTTTCATATTAACTTTAGCTACAATTCCCTACCTGACACCCAATTCCACAGTCATTGAAATATTTTATTAGAATTTGTTTTCACTTTGTGAAAATGTTGAAATTTGGTCCTGCTGCAGTAAATCTGAGATGTGAATACATTGCCGCCATCTCTGTACGGATTAGATAATTGCATTTAGGCGCTTGGCCTACACGTATTTCAAGGATCCGTTGTAGTCCCGGATGCAGGGGTTTTCAACGCTCTCCATTCGCAGAATATTCTCATGACGGACTTCCTTGCTTGCTTTTTTATGGAATAAAAATTATTCCCTAACCATGCAATGGAAACGGCGACAGGGTAATATTGCTGGGAAGAACCCCCCGCGCCGATGACCGTGAAATGATGTGAATCGCGCGTGAGTGTGATTCTGCCCTTACGAAAATGTCTAATAGGATTCCTATATATTCCTAAAGGAATATATAGGAATCCTATAGTTTCATATATGCCACATAAAGTTCAGTTTGGGACCTATAGAGTTCCCTATAGGACCCAAAGGGTTCTGTATAGGACCCGTAGGGTTCCCTATAGGACCTGTAGGGTTTTCCGTTTGAAGTTCTCCTCTAGGCCACTAGATGGAAGTATTGGGTTCTCGCATTACTCAATGGGCAGAAAAGTGCCCTCCCCTTACCTAGGTGTCCACTCATACCAAAGATAGCCTTCATCTGCTCGCGTCACTCCCTGAAGGAATGCTATCATGCGGGATATCCTGACAAAAAAGCATGAGAAATTATACAGTCCCTTCGATTTCTTTGATTTTCCATGCTTCATCTGACATCCTCCTCGAAATAGATGATGCAGGTGCATTCACTACATGGATCATATACATGGATCTCATTGTCAGGCTAGCTCCAATCTCACTGATGCAGTGATTGATATTAAATTATTTAAAACTATGAAATATGAAATAAAGAGTGAATGACCACTCAATCAGCATTCAAAAAGAGAATCGAAATAACATAATTCCCATGGCTATTTAAAAGCTATGTTGCAAATGGCCTAAGGAAAAGATTTGCTTCTTACATTGGGATTTTGCTCTTCCCAAGAACACCTCAGAATTCGGGCGATAAAGTGAAAAATGTATGGTGATACATTCCCGCCGAGAAAAATAAGAATATATACCACACAAAAATTTGTTTACCTGAGAGGATGACTCGAAAGTATGATTTTTCATTAACTCAACATCACATTAGCTCTTTCTTTACCAAACTTGGATATGTTTGCCGAAGGGCAAACTAACTTGCTAAGGACCTGCCTTCAGCTTTCTATGAGCAAATAAAATTACTAATGCATTCGGAGCATTCGTTTTCGAAGCTCCCCCCTAATGAATCATTCGAACCTCTTTGTTAATGGGTTTGGCAATTCACGCGCCTTTGGCGCTCTCTCTTTAAAAATGAAGTTATGTAAAAAATGTTCTTAAAGACCTCATATGACTTCCAGCATAAGGATCACCAGATGTAAATTCAGTGCGTCCTTTAGTGTTTCTATCTTTTAGTGTTTAGTGTTTCTAATATATTGAATTTATTTCCTGCCTGGGGTCCTCACCCTCCTCTTTGCATTAAAATCACAAAACCATACAGTATATGTTGTAGTATATCTATGTTCGGGGGCAAAAACTCTAAATAAGTACCTACTTCAAATTCTTCCTAAGGCTACATATATTTGTCCATGAGAAAATACAACATTCACGAATGCAGCTCATAGCTATTTACGTTCCCGTTTCGTTGAAACGTGAGGGTTGAAATGGCATTGGTCTAAGCGTTCGCAACCGGATTGGACATAACCATTTTAAATCGGAATGTCGAGGGAAAATCTTCCTTGCCGTTTCCCTGCTACATATATAAATGAAACCAATACCTATCCACAACCATACCAGTATGCATCAACCCTCGCCCTTCCACCTAGCCTGCAACCTCGAAAGGCATAGGGCAGAGGCCTCGTGCCGCATGCTAAGGATGCAGGTTTTTCGAACAGAGAAGCCCTCCTGGGTGCCAATGAGTCAAAATCGATGTAGGACTGAGCGTCCGTCCAAGGGTGAGATATAGGCCTGCTGAATCAGTCCTTGTTAGTGCACGTACTTCCAATGCGAACTGTATCTGTTGTATGCAAGCCAACCACTACTTGTTTTCCATCCCGCTTCCTTTGATGAAGAAAGTGCATGAGAATGGTATTGGCCTAAGTGTCCATCCATGGGTTGGGCATAGGTTTTCGAAATGAGTACCCAGGGCATGTTACACCCCCCCCCCCTTCGAAGTCGAACTTTCTCTAAAGTGAACAACCTAGCAGTTACGCACACTTTCTTCAGACACAGGAAAGGTGTGTATAAGAATGGCTTAGGTCTAAACTGTCGTATGGCGGGCTAGACCAAGGCTTACAAAGTCAGTCCCCCGCGAAACGTCCCCCTAGGGCAGGTACCCACAAAGTCGATTTTTTTTTCTGAACTAAGTTTCTTCTCTACTAGCTACTTGTGTACCAAGTTTCATATTTCTAGCTTCTTTAGAACATGGATTATAATTAGCGTCAGTCAGTCAGTCATTCACGATCGTCATTATACACTATTATTAGATGAATCTGAAGAAAAGATAAAAGCAGAATGTTCTTCCCTTCTTCCACCATTTCTACTCGACTCCTCCATTCCAAGAAGGTTTCTAAACTCGCATTCCGTTTCCTCTTGCAGGTGCACTTAAGATTTTCGCCATGGGGAATGACGAAAACGGGCGATTTGGGATGTGGGAATTACCCAAGAACACTCTTTGGGTCCAGGAAGAGCATTCGTTATTAGACGTGTTCCTCGCCCAATCCTCCATGCTGATCCACGGGACAGGGGGGGAAGTCAGGATTCTTCATCTAGAGGGGAAAGATCCCCATGAGGCACCTCACGGATGGGACCACAAACTCCGCATCCCTCCTGATTTTCTTGTGGAAGGTACTTCGGGAGTGGGGATCCAGGACTCCCTTTTTCTCTTGGGAGGGAAGAGAAACCCCTGTTCAGGAAGCCGACTGGATCTCCACAGTTACACCTGGGTGGATCTCCCTCTGATGACTCAGGGGAGAGAGGACGCAGCTTCAGTGATGTTGGACGCCCACACCATCCTCGCCTTGGGAGGTGTGAACCCCAAAAATGGAAAAACCCTCTCCAGCTGCGTGCGTTTGGACGTGAGAACAAGGGAGTGGATCCCCTTTCCGTCAGAAATCCCCCTTCCCATCAGCAGTCACGCAGTGACCCTTTACGATGATCATGTATACATCTCGGGGGGATTCAGAGATGACGAATCTCGTGGGGACGTGTGGAAGTGTGGGGTGAATGGGGGAGGACCATGGGAAAACTTCCTTTTTTACAATTCGACAGACATGATCATGGGATGATGGGAGATGGCGCAGGGAGATTTCAAGTCATCGGGGGAAAATATCAAAATGGATCAGAGGATACGAATGACCTTTTGACGGAGACTCTGACCATGGATGGAGGAAGAGGATGGGAGAGACTACACGAACTTTCCTTCACTAAAGTGTGGAAGGCTTGTGCAATGAATTGAGTTGGACTGGGATACATTCCCCTCGTTCCGGGTTCCCTTAAACTCACATTGAGGAATCTCTCTCAAGGAGACGGAATTCTCCATACGAGATACATTTTCCATCGAGGTCTTATTTCCACTCCGGTTTCTTTTCTCGCAAATGCAGATTGAGTGTGACTCAGTGATCGCGCGGGTGTGACGTACGATGAAATGATTCCGATGAAAGCGCTCCAAACAACGGATTCGCGTGCATGTTATAACATTTTTTTAATAACATGCACGTGAATCAGTAATTTAGAATGGGGGGGGGGGAGAGAAATGCGAAAATGAATATTAGTTATGTCGAACTTCGTCACGTCGAGCGTGGACTCGGCATTTTTTGGCCTTTAGCCGTATCCACGAAGCCTCGTCTAGATCGTCTCGTTCGACATCGTGTCGTCGGAGTCGACGGACAGACCTAGCACGGCCGGCGTGCGGGAGGACCTCCTCGAGCCCGGCGTTGACCGATGGAGCGTCAGAGTTCGCCGTGTTGGCGAGTCCCGGATGACGGCTACGTCCTCCCCGTCGAAGAGGCGATCATCCTCCGAGTTTGACCCTAACGGAAATGTCCTATAGGAAACCTATAGACCTTCCTATAGGTTTTTGAAACACGAAAAACCCACAGGATCCTATGGGATCCCTATAGGGTCCCATAGGAGTCTTCGCCTATAGGATTCGGGGAGGATTTCTTGGGTTTCGAAACCCAGGGATTGCGACGGAAAAGGCAACCGGGGTCAACATTAGCGCAGCATTTTAGTGTAAATCAATTACCGATTAGGGGTTTTCCCATGGTAGAGGCACTTGCATTAATAATTTGGAATGGAACATCTAATTTTAGAAAGAATCGCGAAAAGGAAATGGAGAAGGTATGAGCCCACAAGCATCCAGATACTTTGAATTGAAGAGACGATGGGAGCAGATGCCTTCCACAAAACACAACAGCATTTTCATGGAATCATTTTCTCCAGTTCAGTCTATTCTTGTTGCTTGATGTCATTTCTATAATTTCTTACAAACAGTTGAATGAATGAGGAAAAGCTGAGAATTTTGCTGATTGCTTTCTTTATTAAAAAAATGTTTTAAAGAAGGAAATATAAAATATTGAGTTTTTTTAACATATGCACACCTCATTTTGTCGTCATCTTTCCCATTACCAGGCATTTTTAAAACACATATTCGCTTCTACATGAAAGCGCGTGTGAGCATTAAATATTAATTAAGCGGCTTGAGATAATTCGATTAGAAAAATGGTCCAGGAAACCTTGCATTCACGCTTCTTTAAAGTTCGTGTATTGTGGGGAAAAAGAGGTCGAAACCATTGGATTGTATGTTTAATTAGTAAATATGACAATCCGTTGTTGCGAAATGTTGCATGAAGATGCATTATGCGTTTTTATATTCCTTTTTTTTCGCGTCGGAAGACTCATCTTCCAATTAAATTCAAACTTGCAAGTTTTTGCGTAAAAGTCTGTTTGAAAAACAACAGACATTGACATTCTTTAACCACACTTATCATGTTGTTACATTGAAAAAACTTCTGTGAAAATGATTGTGTCGTAGCTCTGTCAAATACTGTAAGAAATGGATCAAACAATGTGGAGCGTCCTTTTTTGGAGACCTTGTATTGAGACATGTCGGGGGAGATGAGACCAGAGCCGCATCAAGGATTTCATTTCGGGGGGGGGGGGGTGATCTGGCGTACGCGCTGTGGCTATTAGTTTAATACTTGTCATTGCGAGTCTTTGTGACATAACTGCAATTTCCTGCAAGTTGCAGTGTTTAATAAGTCATGAGCTTTAAAGATAAAAATCTCCAAGCATTGCCCAATCTTACCGTATTTTTAAAGCTCAAGGTCACTGCCTACCAAAAATACATAATAAACCTATACTAAAAATCGTATAAGTCAGGAAATGTGGAACTCCTCACGACTGAAAAAATGAAAGGAAAAGTCCCAGTTTAGGTTAGCTCAGGAATTTTTTATTAAAAAATCTTATTTGTGCCTTTACAGTGCGAAATTTTCCCCCCTAGGTTTTAAGGGGAACCTCCTGACAACTTCCCCAGTGTCAACGGGAATGGTTCCGTGAACGCTCAGCAGTGCAAGTCCTGCTAGACGGTTCTCATCTGTTGAATTCCGCTAGTAGGTTTTGAGATGCTTTAAGGTTGAAAATGATCTTTCGGCCGTCGAAGTGGTAGTGTTACTAGAATCTTGAGTAGCTTGTTTATGTTGGGATGAAACTCTGAACTACACTCGCCACAAGCTTCCAGAGCTGATCGTGGTCAGATGGCTTCCGCTATCTTCGACCGTTTGACTTTCCAAACCATAAACTCAGCTGAGAATGTTTTTGGTTCAGGCAGAAGTGCGGCATGAAATGCAATGCATTCCTTCAGATCTGAAGGCTCGCAACAGATGCAAAATGTTGGGATCACCTTCTCCTAAGAGCACATAATGTGTTTATGTTTGAAGAACCTCTCCCTCAGCTGAGTCCTAACATGATAAAGGAATGGCGGATGTAGTTCTCTCCTGTAAAATTCTTTAAGTGTCTTTTCTACAGGAACATAATCCTGTTGCGTCTATTTTCATGCTACCTGAGGTATAGGCAATACACCTCCTATTTCTTGTATAGTTTCTTGCGACTATAAAAAAGAGAATCCAAGAACAAAAAAAAACCTGTGACCAAGGAAAATGGAGAAGCAGAATCTGCATCGGCCGGAAAAGAATACTTGAATGCTAATGAAACAGCTGTCGGTATATCCCAGCCTGATGAATGTGTAGCGAGCTCACAAAAAATGTCATGTATGACTGCATTGATCGAGATATTGGATTGTATTTGACAAAGAATGTGGATGACGTCACAAAAGAAATATTCTTCGTGTCCCCATGGATCCCTCCACCAATGTATGAGTTTCCACTAATTTCCAAGAGGAAACTACGATTTCAGCTTACATGGATCGAACGTTTTCCGTGGCTAGCCTATTCAAGGCATGAAGAGGGTGCATTGTGCAAAGTATGCGCGGTATTTGCAAAGGAAACTGGGGGTAAAGGTGGTCACCAGCGACTCGGTGCTCCAGCCACGAAAAGTTTCCGTTACTGAAAGGACGCTTTGGAAATATTTCAACCTCACGCTGATACCAGCAGCCATAAGGCCTCGTCTGTGACGGAAGAGGATTTCCTTCGTGCTGTCGGTGGGAAGCAACAGAGTGTGGATAATCAGTTGTGTTCAGAACGGACGCGGCAAACTGAAGAAATCGGGCCATATTCACTTCAATCGAAAATACAATTATTTTATGCCTGCGGCAAGAACTTCCACTGAGGGGAACGAACGATTATGGAGACATCCTGAGCATTGATGCTGCAGTGAACGATGGGGCCTTTCGAGCATTATATATTCCTACAGGAATCCTATTTGAATCTCATGGACTCCATTTAGGAATGGGAGCGTCCTATAGGAAACCTATAGGATTCCCATTTGTTCTTATAAGCTTCCTATATATTCCTATAGAATTGCTATAGGACTCTTCCTTAAGGGGAGACAGATTAGAACAGGATAAGTGGGGAGGCACGTTAACTTTAGGACACTGTCCTCATGCATTTCATGTGGCTTTTCTATTGATATATCTTACTTCTTCAAGATGGGGGGAGGGAAGCATGTGTCCCCCTTCCCTCTCAACGCTACTTCGCTGCAGAGCAGGGAAGTAGGAAGTAAGGTAGAGACAAGAGCATGCACCCGCTGTGCTTGGTCCCCCTCGTCCCCCAGCCAAGCACAGCGGAACAGTGGAAACTGGAGGGGGATGCGTCCACACCGCGGAGGCATCCCTTCAGTTTCTTTCCTCTTCTTCGCTCTTAATGAACCATGAACAAGGACGTTTCTTTCCCATTCTTCCCTCCTTCCTTCCTAATGCGTAAGATGACGACGTAGTGGCCGGTGTAGTGGCCTTCCGTAGCTATTTTAAAGAGACTAGATGCATTTATTGACAAAGCAGAAAGGAGGGCAATGTAGACGAAAGGGCCTAGGCAGGAAGCGACTTGGTAAAGCTACAAAATTAATTACAAAAATACAAATTGATTTTGCTTTAGGAGGAGTTGGCCTATCCTAAACTTAAGGAGCGCTCGTCCTGGGCTCGTTGGTTATGGGTCAAATGGGCGTTATCGCCTCCTGATACCACTATCCAACCTTGATACCTTGATACTATGAGGAATCCTTTGTACTTTGCACGAGGGGATATCGCCGCACCCCTATTGGGCGCAGAGGAGGACCGATGCAATGGAAGGGGCTGATAGCGCATGATAAGAACTCGACCGTCTCCTCGACCCGAGCAGCGAGCCCTTGGAAAAATGCGCAGTCGGCAAGTATGTTTACTTCCCTACACGTCATTTTGAGAACCGTTATTTCGGTAAAGTCGTATTGCCATGATCCGATTTAAAAGGAAAGAGGAAAGGAATGTACGATGTGTTTTAGGACCTCCTTCTCTATGAAGTTCATTGGGGATATTGGTGTTTTTTTGTTCTCAAACCAAGAGAGCAGGATAGCAGAAAGGGCTACGAAGTCGGCTATTAAGGGAATGGAAGTGAGAATGGTGAGCAAAAGTTTGAGATGCGAAAAAAACCTCACTTTTTCAATAGCAGCTAAGCTCTACCATGAACTGTGCAACTGACAGCGCGACAGGACGTGTAACGAGCATGCGTGGATCATCCGCGTGACTGAGTTTCCCGTGTCTCTCCGTCCGAGTGTGCTTGAAACATCGCTCGGATTTCATCTAAGTGCCCTTGCTCAAAAATCCGAACAGAGGGGAGCTCTTTTTCGTACAAATACC